GGGTCGTCTTATACGCCCAATCGTCTTATACGCCGGAAAATACGGTATATAAAATGCACCCATAGGTCACACCACAAAGCACAAAGGCAGTGCTGAGAGGAGGTGGATTTCCCCAAAATCTGGTGAGGGATGGGATATAAACCTCTACGCCAACCCTCTGCCACAGTAATCCCTCCCCTTCAGTTTGATGCGACTCAGGTCCCTTATTCGCACTTGCTGAACATGCTTGCTAATCGCTTCTTTTCAAAAGGACCAGCAAAAAAATAGTGTCTGAAAAGAGTGATTTTTTTTTGCATTTTGTCTCACTTCAAAGCAAGTCCAAACAAACGATCACAATTGCATCTGAAACTGTTTCAAATGGGGACGAGGCACTTTAAAGCGATCAGCAAATCGATGTAAATCATAGTGGGAATGAGCCCTGAGAATCTTTGAATTTATCTTAATAAATGATTCCCAAGGCAGCCTGATTGATCTTAGGCCCTTTTGACAAAAATGTAACCATACAGAGATCTATGCCCTCAAAATGAAATTATTACAATGATGTCTTTCAGGACAGCACCTCTAGGTACAGCATGATGTCTTAGACTGGCCATCAACTGGAACAGACCTATGGTAGCTAAGAAACTGAAAGGATCCTGACCTGGCTTCAGCTTTTACACTGGAGCCATCCAAAAAAACAAATCTGGGCTCCAATCTTAGAGCTATATCAGTTCAGTTTTGTGGGCTGATTGGCACAGCAGCAGAATCTGTAATCTACTGAGACCTCCAACATAAGAAAACAGAGCCTGTACTGGATGTTTCCCATCCCTGCAATTATTTATCTGCAGTTTACTGACAAAGGCCAAAATTGTCCACAACTGCTAATAATGCCAGGAATGTGAACTATGATGTGATCATCTGAGAAAGAAAAGCTCTACATTTTATAGACTGAAATAAATACATACATACATACACACTAGGGTTTCTGGCATTCATCACCCATTATTTTCTCTTTTCACTCCTAACTAAAGCAATCATAATGGCACCTGAACAGAAACACCATCCACTGAGTGTTTAGTCCTGGTCAATCAAATTATCCCAAGCCTCCTAAAGTAAGAATTCTACCTTGAAGCTTCTTGATTAAGAGAGAAACACCACAGATCACTATCTTCTTATAGCTCCACTATTAAAGATCTTATTATGGTAACAAATTAGCTGAAGAATTTAGCCCTTTAAGTTTATACTTACTTTCTAAGAATGTTCTGTAATACCGTACCACATTAGGATGATAAAGCTACAATAAAAATAATGTATATAGTTAAGGTTAAAGGGAACATCCATTTTTATGTTGTTACAGAATGTTCCTCTAAGTGGCTGTTACTGCAAGTAAGTACTAGGATTGTGAACATCAGCATATCCTTTCACATTGTACTAGCATTTGTAACTAATTAAAGACATTGCACAGGAACCATGAAGAACAGAATACTTTTTCTGTGTGGCCTATTCATACACAACTACCACTCATTAACTTCTCCTTTAGCAAGATTTCTCTTTCCCTAATTAGACCAAATGGCCCGAATTCCATCCAAGCAGAGGCCAAATCCATTCAAAGGGAAGAATGGTGGACTAGATAGCCCTTTGTTCTGATCAACATACCTATTAAATTCTTAGAGACTTAACTTAATGGTGAAACAGACATTGTGGTGGCTTCCCAGAGGCCTGGAGGCATGTAATTTAGACAACATACGACCCTAAGCCGCTGTGAAGCTGTCTGCCCGCCTACACAGAGAGTAGCTTTCTGGTGCTCCGGCAGCATGGCATGTAGACACTGCACACAGCAGAAGTGCCAAAAAGCCACAGCAGCAGCAGAAAATATGGCATTTTGCTGGCACAAAAGAAGCAGCTTTCTGCAGCTTCTTTTTGCACCAGCAAAACGGTGGAGTGGGGCTGTGGCATGCAGTTGCTATGGCCCCAATCCTGGGGCAGCTTGACACCACCCCTTTGAGCCAGTTTGTTTCGCCTCTTACTTTCTTTTTAAAATGTTTTTGCTGTGTAACATTTTTAAAATGTTTTTGCTTAACTTCTACCCCAAGTAAACCTTGCAGCATAATTTCATTAGCCAACTTACTCTCTACACAGCATATCACTAGAGGTGCCTGTAATGAAACACAGACATTGATAGTGACAACATCTGCAATGTGCATGTATGCAGCACAGTCCTATCCCCAGCTACAGTAGCTTTACTAGTCCAGTCCAATTAATTTGTGTGGAGGAAATGGAAATCTTGTTGTGTTTAAAGAACTTAGTCCCAGATAAGCCAAATATGTAAGACTCTACTTGTAAAGTTGGTACAATTCACAGATACAGTGTTGTCTCCTTAGAGGTAAAGGTTTATTCCTACTGTCTGTTCTCTCTGTTTCTCAATCTACTTTCCCTTTTCATCCAGACCTCTCCTTAAAAAGGAGTTCAATACATTAAATACATTCAATAATGCTAACAAAAACTATGCTAAATATTATCCTGCACACTAGAAAGTAAGTACACTTGTCTCTCCATATCCATGGACTTTTTTATCCACAGATTCAAGCATCCATGGCTTGAAAATACTCAAATATA